TTCCACGCGTTTAAACATGTAAAACATGTTAAAAGTTATTTTTCCATAAACCGTTTTAACGTGTTTTTGGCGACATATGACACTGTTTAAATAGTTTACATATTGGAATGTTTAAACACCGTTTTATTCGTTTCGCTGTCTGCCTGGGTAACTGTATAAAGGAGGGGGATGGATAAGATCCTATCTAGAGCCAAAAAATTTTCGCATTTTTTGCTTTGGAACTACGTCAGGGGACATTTCGGAGCATTTGAGACGCTTAGTTCAGCGAAATCTCTTAATCAGGGTTTTTATGCCTGAAGTCTCCCATAGCATTTCTGAAAAATGTTTTTCTTCAATTTTTTTCTCAAACTCACTTAATAATATGTAATCGACATCGCTGATCACGAATATCAGTATCAGAAGTATCAAAAATGCTTTCGGCACGAGTACTCTTCTAGTTATCGTCATTTTCTTGGTATCCGTAAAAAGACAATTTCGATACTATCCTAGCGGAGGAAGCCCCGAAAAGCCACAATATATAGTGATTCGTATGAAGAATTTCATGCTAAATCTGAATATGGAATCAGAAAAATGATTCAAAATAAAACTTCTCAGAAAATTATCCAAAAAACCATAGCTTTAGCCTTTTTTCACAATTTTCTGAGAAGTTTTATTTTGAATCATTTTTCTGATTCCATATTCAAATTTAGCATGAAATTCTGCATGCAAATCACTATATATTGTGGCTTCTCGGGGCTTCCTCCGCTAGGATAGTATCGAAATTGTCTTTTTACGGATACCAAGAAAATGACGATAACTAGAAGACTACTCGTGCCTAAAGCATTTTTGACACTTCTGATACTGATATTCGTGATCAGCAATGTCGATTACATATTACTAAGTGAGTTTGGGAAAAAAATTGAAGAAAAAAGTTTTTCAGAAATCCTGTGGGGGATAGAGAGCTTCAGGTACATGTCTTTTGGGCTCGGGCTAGGGACACTCCTGAAAGCGAGAAAAAAATAGTATAGAACATCGATTCCCACTTTGCTAAATACATTCCTAAATGAGACGAAATTAGAAGCTATGAAGCTTTTTGTATGAACATAAGCAACAGGTTGTATTGAAACCCATTATTTTTCCGACAGCTTATAACTCGTCATTCTTTTGTCCTTAAAACGCATGTATTTGTAGCAATATTTGGCCACATTTCACTAGATTCTGTTAATAAAAAGGTGTGAAAGTATGAATATGTAACATATAATTTATTCGAAAAAAAAACGCTGACAGACTTCCTTTAAGGCGTGAAAGATTGTATAAGATTTAAACGCAATTTTTTTAATCGCGAAATCGTGAGTCAAATATTTTTATTCTAAAAGATGGGCCACGAAATAACACTAGAATAAGCAGTTGAAATATCTCTAATTCGGTTTGCTCAAGTAGGTTGACTTTCTGGTCACTACTCGAAGTCTATTTAAAGTTTGTCTTTCATACAGATAACAAAAACACTGCAGACATTCAATTATATCCTCGGTCTCAATAAAGAAACTTCACTCACAGTCAACTAAGTATATTACATATTAATTTTTTGTGAAACACAATCTGAAATGAATGTTTAAGTATGCAGCGTAGAAATTTAGACCCGCTCCTGCATGCAGATCGTGACAGAGAAATTAATTAATTAATTTAATAATGAATTAATTAATAAATCTCTAATTAATATTTCCTTAGTAAATCCGTAATGACCATGACAGAGTAATCCCATAGCCATCACAGGCCGTGAAAGGCAGCTTCACGCGGCTATCGGAGATAATTTAAAAGTTACTTCTAATTTGTGCATATATATGGAGTGTTTATTGAAGTTCTATATGATATAGTAACAATGATAAAGAAATATGCCGCAATATAATATAAAAAAGAAACATAGCTTTTCAAGGATTGGTCACAATAGCTAGATTGTGTTTCTCATTTAAATTTCGCAGGGATTGGGCTAATCGTTGATAACTTTCAGTATTCGCCTCAGCGAATAATAAGAAGTTAGATAAAACTCTATGAACGATACTACATTGATGTACACAGAAAAAATTTTCAAAACGACTCATTTAAAATGCTGAAATTCGTGCTTCTTCAGTAAAATACAGTATTACAGCTCTTTGAGCTTCAAAACACCAACATCCTTCCAAAAACCAGTGCGTCATATTCGAAAATTGGATATTTCGTAACTCTTCACTGCCAAACTAACTAGTTGCAAAAGTTTGCTCTATGAGTACCAATAGAATATCATTCATATTGTTTGTTTTTATTTGAAGTCCGAATTTGGGTTTTCATGAGGGTTGATGAAGTTCTTCTTGTCTCTCACACCAGGGTTGCCAACTGTACCGAATTTCGACTTTTTTGGTACCCCATTTGGACTTTTTCATGGGTACTGTATAAGTCATCTTTTCATCAGAATAAACAAAAGGACACCAATCAATGCATTACCAGCCAATCGGTAACTTTCATGATGCCAATGACTTTCAGTGATTATGGGTGATTGTTATCCACTGAAAAACTACTGCAAGTTGCAGAAATTAATTGATACTGGGTGATTGATTACTCCTGTGTTTGCTGATTTTAGTGGGGCACTTCTCTTGACCCCACCGGATGAGTTTATAAATCTAACCTTATTCACACAATAATGAAGTCCATATCAGGGGCAACTTCATATAATTTAAAATGTTCTCCATATAACTTACTTTTTTCTGACTTTGACTTGGCTAGAAAGAAGTTCCTAATATGAACGTTATTTGTAGCCACATAATCATTCTAGGATCCATAGCGGTTCGTTGAGCTCTTACTATATTTGAACCCAGATACTTCTTTTCTTAGTTTTCAAAGTAGAAGCAAGTGCATCTTGCTTTGGTTTTCAAGATGGCTGTTGATGGTTGATAATCAAGATAGCAGAAAGAAGCACTGGACCTGATGGCCCTTCTTCCACCAAGTTTTTATTTGAATCGAGCGAGACAATCTCAGGGTACTAGCCCGTTCTTTCACAAATCTTATTGTACAAAACTGAAACATTATGAAGCACTGACCTCTAATCCCGTCTACAAAACACACTATTTTAAATCTGAAAAGGTGAAACAGACTGATGATCCATCCATTGACATCCAAAAGAGACGTCAATCGGAAGAAGCTTGTACCACGGATATCAAGCATTTTTGTTAAGTGAACATTTTTATTTCTTCAATAGACATGTGACAAAGATAGTTATAATTGAGAAATGATATGCGCCAGTGCCAATCCTACCACTTCCTGGAACAGGAATTGGGCTGGATCGGAATTGGTATCATTGACACTCGGCGATGGGACTGTAGGAAAGTACGGTCTCCTTGGACTTTAAGGAAAATTGAATTTTGGCAACGTAAAATTATTATTTTTGTGCTTTCTATATCGAACTACGTAATAATTAAAACGGATTTCAGTTGACTAAGCGATCTCCCTGCTTTTTTGGCTACAAAAGGTCTCATGCCATAAGATCCTCTGGGGCTTGGCCTGGCGGGCGGTTAATGGCTGGTACGTCCCTAATTCAGAACTTGTTTGCTCGAACTTAAATATCCCAAATAGTATCATACATACAGCACATGGAATACAACCTTCTTTACTAAACATATCGTGGTCTGCTGGTTTTTTATGAGAACTTCTTTTGTTGTAAACAACAACATTTTGTACTTCATGTATGTAGCCCTCTGGGAAAAAAGTTCTACCCGACATGTACATTATTTCAAACTTTTGTGCTCCGTTCAAGATCAGAATCATTGACAGTCCAGTCTCACACCCACATCGACGCAACCAATCCCGTATCTAGCAATGTGCAGTGTTGATGTAAATACCGAAATACTAACACCGCCGTCACTGATGCAATAAACACTGAAGCATTGAGGAAAATGGAGCGCCAACGTTTACTGAAATACCAGGCGTGCCTACATCGACAAGCATCAGTGTTTTACTGTCTTCAACGTTCCACCATTCAGTGTATCAACGATGTCAGTAATCAGTAAACTGCAACTGCACATTTCTACCAGTACCTGCATCCCACACTCGAACTCATCGCACACCTGATTACATCCACATTCATAAATTAGCATTCACTCCTCAGTGATAGATAGAAATACACAACCACATAGCCATACGCTTCCTATCGATATCAACACTTATATCCATACTCACTTGCACAGCACACAGTCAGATCTACACCCATCAGCAGCCCACATTCACATGCACACATAAACGCACACATCCCACCAATACTCACAACAACACCAAATATATCCAGACCCACAGACAAACCCAGTCTTAGACTAACACATGACTCACAATGATGCACACAGTCTCCCGTCCACACCTCACAATGAAGCTCAACTCACACCAGCCTAAATTCATATCCACAAACTAAAACTCGTTCCTTAGTCACATCCACAATTCACAACCACTCCCATCCCTATTCACACTGACTTGCCATCCATGCGCACAAATCACACCCACAGCCAATCAATGAGTAGTGTCACTTTTGCATTCCCTTCCTAATAACGAGAACGCATCTGAAAATTTGAGGGTGTTATTCGTTTTCCATCCCTGGCAATGGGAACGCGATATACGTTTCCAATCCTAGGAACCCAATGGGAAATTAGCACTCCTAGTTATATTTTTACGTGAAACTGTTATGCGCCCCGCGTTCCTGAGAATGGGGGAACATAAGGCTCATTCTCGTTCCTAGAAACAGGTAACTCATATTAATTTCGCATAAAAAAACTACCCAAAGAAGTATACAAGTATCAGTATGTCGAAATAATGCTAGAAAACGAAACTTTGAGATGAGTTCCCGCTCCTGGGAGCGAAACGCGCAAGAAAGACAAGGCTTGCATCGCTGCAATCAATCTTCACATCTCCACGACAACGCTCACACCTGATCCATACCCTTGCGCAGAGCACTTGCGCCATATAAACACTTAGACTCAGAGTAACATCCACACTCGTACTCACACTCTCACCCTAACTGATTTGACTTCCAACATCCAGAAACACGACCAATTGAAAGTCGGATAGCGACAATCTATGATTGACTGTTCAGTGAATACCAATGGCCTGAGATTTACTGAGATTGAGTCATGGAGAAATCTCATCGGTTGGATTTGTTCAATCAATGAAAGCGCCGACATGCGTGTTAGCACATGAAACTTCATTCTCTAAAGATTATGAATAGTGTTTCAAGTCACGTAGACAGCTAATGCAAACAGTCCTGCTGTGAATACCCTTGACAAATCTTGTTTTGTAAAGGTAGATTTCTATTGATGCCTGGCGTACTAATAGAACTTCGAGACAAATGGTGCTCTGATCTGCACTTGTGGCCCGAATTCACTTCTATAGAACCACTTTTCAAAAAAATCAATTTCTATTCTGGTCGATCAATCAGAAGGCGAACAAACCGAGGAGCAATTTCCATTCCGGATACTCGTTCTTTCAGGACATAAAATTAGATTTCATTTGATGAACTGAGAAGCTCTCCGTTTACTAGTGATGGAAATGCATGTCGCTTTCCCATTCCTGAGAATGGAAACGTAGCGGCGTTCCCAGTTCCTAGGAACGGAACGCAAAAGTGACACCCTGACCAGTTTGATGGGTTTTTTATTGATTTTGTCTGACTGAGTATATTCGTTACAACCGCACAACCAACAGTAACTATGTTTTGTTCTCTGGAGCAATTTTTTAATATTAGATCTATCTTGATAGCATAACAAACAGTAAGTATATTTCAAATTAATTTTGCTTTTCGTTTTTATTTAAATCTATATCAACGACATAACGAACAGTACCCAGGTTGAACAGGCATGCTCGTAAATGACCGTGTACGGAGAAATACAACGATTAATGGAGAAGAAAATGATTGTTTACGATCCTCATTTGCGAAGTGTGTATACGAACTTCGTAAACCTCGACCTGGATAGGTATTATTTTTTCATTTTTATTTTAGATCCATCTGATCTTATAAACTGTCCGATTTAATATTAGCTTTAACTAAGCATGCATTTGAATTAACTCATCAGATAAATTATACAGATTGGAATATACCCATGTCAAAAAAACCGGACCACTTCAAGCGGTAAACCACGGTTTTTCGCTGTAAAGGAGCCGGTGGCTAGATTGGTAATACCGTCGATTTTTACCCGGTTTTCATTACATGGGTATTGTATAAAGATAATTCTGCATCCAGATTGTGTATCAAGGAACCATTAGCCATTATCATTTTTATAGATGGATTTAAACTCAACTGTTAGATCAACTCCATTAATAATATCTCCGGCAAGTGCAAAATGAAAGGAGAAGGTTAAATTTAAGATCACAAAAAAATAGTGATGATCTTTCTCGATCATATGAAATATACTTTTCTTTTCGATGAGTCATCAGATGATTGAGTACAAATATAATATGTATACGGGGTGTCCCATAAATAACACCCTGATAATAAATTTAAATATCTTCGCCAGATGTTGACCAAACGAGCTGAAATTTTTACCAGTGATAGAGGTATATTCAAAGGTTATATCCATAAAGACATGCCTCGAGAGACTCTTTGTTAAGTATCACTATTCAGCTGAACACAAAATTTTACTTCTTTCAGAGATAGGAAAAAAACAATATACAGAGTGGCGCAAAAGTCACTTTGCCGAAAAAAAATTGAATATCTCCATTAAGGTTCGAGCAAACGAGCTGATTTTCTCATCAATGATAGACGCATGTTCAACCTTTATATTCATAAAGACATAACTAGAGAGACTCTTTGTTAATTATATTGTTTTTTTCCTTACTGTGAAAAAGTAATTTTTTTTTGTTGAGGTCAATAGTGATACTTAATAAAGGATCTCTCTGGGCATACTCTTATGGATATAAACTTTGAATATGTCTCTATCACTGGTAAAAATTTCAGCTCGTTTGGTTGATATCTGATGAAGATATTTAAATTTCTTATTGGGGTGTTATTTATGGGACACCCTGTATATATATAGATATCAACATGCTTTCATTTTCTTTAATTCCATCATGAGTTGTACATGTTTCTCTTGAAAATGATGTGTAAAAATATCGAAAGCTTGAGTTATTGTTGGTTATTTCGTTCATGTAAAAATTTTCACATTTATATTTAATCAATGTTATTTGCTGCTGTGAAATCTCTTTTTTATGTTATCAGATGATTTTATTTTATTTTTCTACCCCAAAACGTAGAAATAATTCATCTATCAAAAGATTTATTAATAAACTACAATCATTAAATGTATAAACACAAAAAGATTTAATCTTCTGTTAATAATTGAATAACATTTGACACAGCATGATAACATAAAAGATTTTCTTTGTTCCGTTGTTGAGTTTTGACATCGAACAAAGCTGGTAGCACATTACTACTTCGAACAGCTACTTTACCCTTGAAAAATAGAAGATAACAAGTAAAAATATTATACTAGATAAAGAGATTCAAATATTTACTTTTTGAGCATCGACAATCAGTGCCCACAAAGCAGTTAGTCCTATATAAGCTGTATCGGACGTTTTTGAGACAACGTATGACATTATTGTTGGAATATACTTAGCTAAAATCGAATCAAATGTTTATCAACAAAATAAATAAAACATCAAATGTCAAAATCTGTTTATGCAATTGATATAGTTAATATTCACTTCAAAAACCATAAAAAAAAAATCTTCATTGATCGTATCAAAAAAAAACGTGATTGAATAGTTTCTATTTTAAATTTTCATATACCAAACTTCAAACTCTCGATTTGACTTTTTTTGAAGGCAAGTTTTCAGTCAAAGCTTCATTATTTTATGTTAATCCGCATGTATAGTGTGATATCTTAGTATGAATTCTTTTACAAGAAACTTACTTTCAGCTACAATCCTTGCTTTATGAGTAGAAGAAAAGGCTAAATTGCGAAGAATCAGAAGAGCTTGACGTTGTAAAATAGCAGATGATGATGATTGAGCAAGACGAATTATAATGGCAAACATTTCTAAAGATAAATTTCAAAATTGAACAACAACAATAGCATCATAATCTTCATTTTTACCAGGACTTTTCAGTAAACTAGTTTGTCCATCAGTAATAAATGATACATTAATAATAACATCAAGAAAACGTCGATCATGTCGATTAATATCACGTGATACACGCTCAAAATGATCAATAAATAATTGAAAAAAATTTGATTTATACACAATACTGCGTCCTTCAATTTCAAGCGAACAATTTTGTATAACATCAAATGCCATTTCAATTGTTTGATGTTTGCTAGTATTATTATTATTAGCTACAGATGATAATGATGCTTTCGTTATAAGACGAAGAACATAAGAAAGTAAATTTGATAATGGACGTTGCTGATCAGGTGTTTGAACAACAAATGAATTTGTTGATGGAAGAATCGTACTACATACACTAACACAACCTACAGATAACCATGAATATAACAAATGAATAGGGAGGGAGTCACTCAAACTGATATTCGCAATTTCAGTTTATATTAGACCTACAACAACATGTCGGCGAGACTTGCAAAAGTGTAAAAAGATTCATTGCATGGGCTTTTGGAGCTGAATTATAAGTAGGCATAAGCAAAATCGACTATCCTTTGTTATTATCGTTTTACTAAATTTTCGACTAACTTTTAGAGATATGCTAACAAAGAAACATTCTTTTTCATTGAAACTTTCAGGATATTCTATAGATCATTGGATCTATCTATAGACCAAATTTTACATACAAATTTCGTTTTATTTATGTTTCGGTAGATTTCTGAATATGAGTCGAAAATTCAGTAAACTGATCATAAGTCAGTTAAAAGGATTCGTAGAGACCAATCCTTTTAGATTTTCTCTAGCCTCATGGAAACGTCTTTGTGAGTCCAATACGAGCCCTAACGACGAGGATTACTTCGGATGGTTTTTGCGTCAATTAAAATTATAGCGAACCTTTTCGATGTTTTGCAGTAAGTGTTGTCAGAAGAAGAAGAAGAACATTTAGTAATTGAACATCGACAATAGCCCAGCACCAAAGTTGATGAAGAAATGGAATTAAACCACTTGAAGAAAGAATATCCTAAATAAAGCCGAAACAAAATAAAATGATTTGATGATATAAAATAAAAAATTTACTTTAGCAGAAGAACAATCAAATGATAAATTGTTAAGAATAGATAATACTTGAACACACTCATCAATTAATGCATCATCCTAAAATAAAAATCTCAATAATGAAACATTCATTCAAAACAAAACGTTACTTACTTTGCTCACACATTTATCAGATTGAAGTGAGAAAAGTGTTAATTTTGTTTGAATACGTTTAAGATGATCTATTTGTGATTCAATAAAACCTTCTATAAAAATAAAAATATCCTAGAAAAAAAATTTTCAATATTCTATTTCTATTCTTACTTTCGATTGCTTCTTGTTTAGCTGTTATGCTAATATTTAATAATGATTTAATCATATTTGATACAGTTAATTTCAATGTATCATTTGATTCTGTATTAAGTCGATTTTCATATATTAATAATAATTGATTAAAAATTTTTATTCCATTTTTATCTGACGATTGATCAAAAAAAATTTTCCATATTTCTTTTTCTTGATCAAGTGTACATTGTGCTATTGATAATGCTAATAATTGTAATATTATAGATATAGTAACACTAATCGAACCATTAATCATTGTTTGTAATGGCAAAGTAATAATACCTTCAGTAAAAAAAAACATCAATAATTTATTTTTGAGAAAAAAAGAATTTTTAATTAAAACATTTACTAAAAAGTTCTGATGCAAATTGAACAATTGTATTATTTGTTAATTGATGTAATGAAGAACATTGTTGAAGTAATATATGAATAATTAAATGAGCAAGATTAATTTTTGTTTGCCAAAAATTTTCAGATCGATCATTATTATTTTCAGGAAAATAAGCAAGAAGAGATATAATTTGAATTAAATTTTCATTATTAAATATTTCATTAATCATATCAATACTTGATTCAAAAACAAGTCGTAAATATTGAGCAATTTTTGTATACATATAAAACATATTATCAAGAAATAAATGATATTCATGTGATGTTACATTTTTATTCATTTCTGATTCTAATGGACGAACATCAAGAAAACTACATATAAACGAAAAATAAAAACATGATGTCACTTTTTAATTCGATGAATAATAATCTGTGATAAAAGCGACAGATCGCTAAATCGAAATATATTTAAAATAAAGTAGAAAACAATACAAATTAATTGCAGATTTAATGTCTTTCACACACTGTCTTGACATTCTCCTTCATATTTTTTGCATGTTTAAATAGCATAGACTAATTTCAATATAAAACTGATCCGTTTTGTGAGACTTTCAACAGAATATGTATTTGAAGTCACTAGAGTAGTGAAATTTCCAAAGGTTTTCTGCTCATGCTGAGATCTGGTCGAAGAAGAAGATGAAAAATACTCCTGGCTTTCAACTACTTTGCGGTATGGTGTACTGCTTCGCCACAGATATTACAGTCCGATATCTTCCTCACAAAACACTAACTAACTACAAGAGCAAGCATATGTCATAATATAGTCAGCATACTATCGGACGGATGATCCGAGATAAATAGTAGTTAGTGACTTGTCCAGAGTCATTGCATGACTGGTGGTACTGAAGTTTGCACATAATACCTTGTGGATATGCGTCGAGCAAAGTAGCTATTCCTTCTGTAGAAGTTCAGTTTTCGAAAAAAACATAATTAAAAATTTCGACCTAAAGCTTTATACACATAAAGAGATTTTTATTAGCCTATCTCATGTACAAAATTTCATCAATTTTGGACATCGAGATTTTCATCCGTAAGAAGTTTTAGGTTGAAATTATCAACCATAATATTTTTCAAAAACGGACTCATACAGAAAGAATCTACTTAAAAGTCGCTATCAGAAGTATCGTGATGTCACTAAGATTAGCAAGGCGTGTCACCCTTATTGCGGAGATTAGTGAGCAAAAAGAATCAAAGAAAACCATTCAGTGTCACTGGAGAAAAACGAAAATTTTCCAAGATTGGCTTCTTCAATACTCAAACTGTAAGATCTTAGAGTGTAAAAATTTTCATAAAACTCACGAGAGAAGTAATTTAATTAAATTCATTGTATCATTATTAATTCCAAGCATATTTAAATTAAATAAAAATGAACATAAATTTCCTAGAAATAAAGGTGAAACGGGTGATGATGTTGTTTGATTCATTCGAAGCGCATCCAAATCCAGTGCAACAAATGAATATAAATTTGAAAAAACACTTGAACCAATTCGTTGCATAAAATCACAATCATTTATGGCGGATACTAATTCCGGAAGAGTAACAATTGCATTCTAATAAACCAAAAAAGATAAAATGACGAGAAAAATGATATTCTTACTCCTGTTGCCAATTTAACTTCATCATCAATTAATGTATAAGTTAAATTGATTAATACATTACATACCTAAATGACGATAAATAAAAAATTCAAAAGGAAAGAAATAATTAATTAATTCACTTGTTCTTTAACAAAACTACATTCATCTTCATCAAGAATAATTGCAAGTAATTGTGCTTCTTCGAGTCTATTTTGTGATGAAAATAGTATATCACGACCAGATTCATCAGCAATAAACATTGCTGTCAATGCATAGGATGTAACACGAATTTCAATATCTGTATAAAACCATAAATTTCTTAACCAATCAAAAGATGTTCTTGATGTTTCAAGCCATTCTTGTAAAAGAGACTAAAAAAGCAAAACACGAAAAATCAAAGAAATTAAACAGAAATATATCATTTATGTACGATGTCTTGTCGACGATTTGATGTGGAAAGTGTACTTTTTAATGCTGATATTACATTTAGCAAAGTCTGAGATGATGCTCGTATTACAGCATGAGCCATAAATCCTGATGAGGCTTCTTTTCTTCCTTCGTGGAAAGTTTCAATAACCTATTTAAAAAATAACAATAAACTAGAGTTTGACGATCCGCACAAATATCCAAAATCATTATTTCAAATTCTTGTTCAGTTAGTAAAAGTGCAAACAAATGGTTATAATTTCAGTTTCTAGGAAAATGTTCTTGAAACCAGCGATGTGACATAATACAATATTAAAGAACTGATATTTATATTTTTGTAAAACATACCAACACAAGTTTTCAGATATTTTGGATAAAAATTTGAATCCATTCCCTGGGACGATTTTTGACAGCAGTACTAGTGCACGGGGAACTACGCGTCATTCAGCTTCCTCATATCATCAATCGCACTGTTTGCACACAGAATATGCGTTTATATATACAATCAGGAGAGAAAAAGATTAAGTAAAGGGTAATTCTTTCGAAAATGTACCACCATTACATCGACTTTAATCGAATGGAATGAAACTTTCAGCATTTGTAGGGCTTGTAACTGTAAGCATAGCCGTAGACTTAAAAACAAATTTAAACCTTGCAAAGGGAGCCAAAGGGAGTGGAGTGCAATGTGGGTTTTCCTGGCCAACTTGGTCCTTAGCTAGCTCCTCTATTTTTGGGCTCAAATATCTTTATGAAACCCAAACATTTTTTTACGTTTATCAGTGCTTTAGAATTGTCGAACTGTCCTCTATCTAACGTCGAAACTCTCAGGTCTGCAGCTTGTTCCAGGACAGAATGGCAAAGCTATCTTTAGGACCTACTTTCAAATTTTTCCCAACTTTGAACCTTTCCCTGGCACAACCACGAGAATGTCAAAACCTATCCTATAGTGTAGCTTCATTAGCACATCTAGCTCTACCATTCCTGAAATTTTCGTCTTTACCCAATGCGATTTGGCCAAGTTGACCGATTCTTGCGTTTTTATGAAGAAAATAGCTGTAATAACTGCTATAAATACCATACAAAAAGCTAACTTGACCATATCGTATTGGGCAAAGACGAAAATTTCAGGAATGGTAGAGCTAGGTGTGCTAATGAAGCTCCACTATAGGACAGGTTTTGACATTCTCGTGGTTGTGTTTGGGAAAGGTCCAAAATTGAGAAAAATTTGAAAATAGGTCCTAAAGATGGCTTTGTCATTCAGTTCTGGAACAAGCTACAGACCTGGGAGTTTTGACGTTAGATAGAGGACAGTTCGACAATTCTAAAGCACTAATAAACGTAAAAAAAATGTTTGGGTTTCATAGAGATATTTGAGTCCAAAAAACGTCAAAAATTAGCATTTTTCTATAGCGATTTCCCAAAAAACAGAACACGAAGGAAAAAAACGTCCGCTACAAAAAACGATCACCACAGTGAGTAGTATATATGGTAAAATTTTCAGACTTCTATCATTTGAAATAGAGGAGTTGCTAAGGACCAAGCTGGCCAGGAAAACCCACATTGTGTCCTCCCCCTTTGGCCTCCTTTGCAAGGTTTAAATTTGTTTTTAAGTCTACGGCTATGCTTACAGTTACAAACCCTACAAACGATGAAAGTTTCATTCCATTCGGTTAAAGTCGATGTAAACTCTGGTACGTTTTCGAAAAAGTCACCCTAAACAGATAATGCAGACATATGTTCGAGAATAGATAGAAAAAAAAGCAACCTTTCTAGTATTAGCAAGCACTGCTAAATTACATTTCGTATTTTAATAATACAGGGATTGTGTTAACAGGTATTTGAAAAAGTTTTTACTTTGCATTTTTTTTTAAACTTATAAAAAAGCAAAATAAAAACATCTGGCTTCAAATATATGTATATATATATATATATATGTATATACATGTATAATAGGAACTTTGTCAAGTAGCCTAATGAAAGCCGTCAAGTATTCAAAAATCGAGCACCCTCCCAGTGAAAAATTTCAGCGATTAAAATTGATTAAAATTTCAAAATCCTATGGCAATAATCAAAATCACAAATCCAATTATTCTGCAACAAAATCAAGATTGAAATCGATTAAAATCAGATATTATCAATCAGTTATAATCAGAGGCGGCCAATTATAATTGTGATTATAATCGTCCGATTATAATCGATTGAACATTNATGCGTTTATACACTTTTACAATCGTTTTTTGGCTGAAAACGCGTGTAAACGCACAAAAAGAGCAAAAAATTGGTGTTTTTCGCTCACAGTCGGGAACCGCAATTGTGAGCAAAAAACGTCTGCTTTTTCTATTTTTTTGACACTTTTTCATGGATTTAAACGCGTTTTTGAAAATGTTTGTCTGCTTGGGTAGTGCTCGTTTGAAAAAAAAAACCGTTCGAATTTAGTCCTAATGTGCAATATGCAAGTGATACATTTTTTTTTCTAAACTCGACTTGTAGTTTTTATAAGAATGACAGATTTTAATTCTATTATGAATAAAATTATTTTTATTCTCACTACAATCTGTCAAATATTAAATTGACTCTTTTTTAATTAATTCAGTTTGTAAAAATTAGTACGTTACTTTTTGAAATTTTTTCCACCGAAGATTATTACACTGAATGCATATCTTCTTATTCATTTGCATGATGAATTCCATATTTTCATCATGTTTTTAAAATATCTGCATAACACAATCTTATCTTCAATATATTCTTTTTCGTCGAACTGTCACCTTTATAAAAATATAACAAAAATCGTTATATATATCTTATCTTTATTACTTTCGACAAGTATTGTTTTGTTTTTTTTATTCCAAAATATTTACAATAATTTTATCCTAAGGATATTTTTACAAGAACTAAATTGTAAGTGCAAAACAGAAAACAAGAAAATTATATGCATGTCTTCATCCAGTCAATAATGAAGAAGTATTAGATCATTCATTTGTAAGCAAAGAATTACTACATGATTCAAAAATATTCTTTTACTATAATAATAAGTAGAGCATTTTATCACATTTAATTATTGAAAAATTAAAGGTTTGTTTGTTTTTTTTTATTCTTCCAATTAATATAATCCATAAAGAAAAATATCATATTATTTTTTTTTTTTTGGTTTTTTAAATAAAAACTATACAAATTTAAACTTTTCACAAAGACAAAGTCCACATAGAAACATTTGAATTTGTTTTTTATAAGCTGGATTAAATATACAAACAAACGAACAAATCCTTCTACTCAATTATTAATTTTGATATCCGCTGTAAATCACCGCTATTTTTTCTTTGTTATAAACACACTGACTGGTTAGAAGAAAAAGAAAACAGACGAAACGAATGTATAATTTTGAAAAAAAAAACACGATGTCATGTTGGCACACATACGCACGCTATATACCAATCTTTTGTCTTTCTGTACAAAGTCAAAAGTAATTTACAAACAGAGAGATATAAGACAAGTGATAGACGTTGAATAAACGATGATTGTTGAACACAAAAAACAAAAACTTAGGATTTGTACAAAAAAAAAAAAAAACAGACGCAGTTGTGGTAACCACAAAGAAAAAATACGATGACAAAACTTAACCGGCAAGCATCATCACTAACGAAAAACACACCGGACTCACAAGAAAAAAAACGAAAAACAAAAAAAATGTTTCTGTTTCACACTGTAATCAAGTCACCGGAGAACATTCAAAAATCGTCCAATGCTTATTAATCTTTTAAATGGATACTGTTCTTGGACTGAATAAACAAAAAAAAACAAAAAAATATATATATATATATGTTTGGATTGTTCTCTTTAAGTATTAAGACTATTGCTTCTTTGTTGCTTTGCAGCATACAAATGTTCCATATTGTTTATTATTCCTTGAACAAAACCGTCAGTGTTGCCAGCAACTGGTTTATCTTAAAACAATGAAAATAAAAACATTTTTTTCCTTATTGATGAGAAAAAAAATCAAATATGCACTGTATTTATTGGCAACCAATTGATCTACTGCAGCTTCAAGTGATTGATTTGGTGATGATGATGGAGAAGCAAGTTGACCATTATGATATCGTTTAAGAATAAGTAATTTAATAGCTATGATCAAGTCAATTAATGTTTCTAAATAGTGCAAAAAAAAATAGTCTCGTAAATGGATCTAAGAATTATTTTTAAAATGTATGCATTAAATTTTAAATAATCTTAACAAAACAACAACTTGTTATTCATTTCGAGAATAATATTATTTTGAATTCCTCTTCTTTTCATAATCACTTTCTAATTATAGTTCAAACAGGATATTAAGCATTTTGTCATTGAGTCAAGTGTTCATATAAATAATAAGACTAGAAGCAAAATTCTAAGTCATCGGTTAAGTATTCCTACGCGAATCTAAGTTTGTCGTTCTGTCTTTGACTTTGTGCCAAAAGAGAAGAAAAGAAGAAAAACAGAAAATAATCCAAAACAGAAAAAAGGAAATAAAAGATAGTATTTCTCCCGAGAGAAAAGAAAGAAAAAGAAGATCAACGACTACTTAATATAAAGGTTGTCAGCGAATTTTTTCTTTTTCTTTTTCTTTTTGTTCTGCTTTCATTTAATTGTAACTAAAAAGAAAAAATAAAAGACAAGTCTATAAGATACTTACTGTGTTCTTCATTCAGCCCGTGTAATTTCAGTTTGTTTGCTTCATGCTGTGCTTTCTTACGAAGTCGACAAGCTCTAAATAATAAATAATTAAACTAGAAAAAGAGCACAAGAATTTTTGTATCAAATACAAACCGGCTGGCAATTTTATTTTTTTCTTTTTTAACTTCAGCTGTGTCATTATTATTTGTTTGTTGCTCAACATGATAAATTCCATGATAAACCGATGTTGTACTCGAATTTGTTTTACCAACACATGCTGTTAAATCTCGTATTTGTTTACCAAGTTGATAAAGTTTCACTGGATTTGGTGTTACATCATTTCCATCACCTTTTCGAAGTTTAGTAAATGTTTGACCTTTTGTTTGTGTTAATTTTATTTGATAAACTGGATCACTAAATTCTCGAAAAAGATGTGGATCACGTTCTTTTAAATAAAGTATTCGTTTTGTTTTAGGTCCTTTAGCTTGAACATTATATTGCCAAAAAAGTGATGAAGAATTTGAATGTGATTGTGATGATTTTGTTGGGTCTGAATCCTTATTATAAGTACTGGATACTGTTGTTGCATCATCATCATCATCATCATCTTCATCATCACTTGTTATGTCATCATCGTCGATATCATTATCTTGCATATGATCCGAAGAATTTTGTTCTATATCCGACCAAAGATCAGGTTCACTTTGTTGCTCTATAGTACAATTTGGACTGCTTGGATCATCTAAACAGCAATTTATTTTTTATTTTTTTTTTATTTTTTATTTAAAATTACCTTTTATTTCTTGAACGGGAAAGCCAACTAAAGATGATCTTTTTCGAGCAAGCACAGATGGAGGAGGAGGAGGAGATGCAGCACCACCTCTTGGCTGATTAAGTGAATATAATGTGCAATTAGTTGTTTGTTGTGGTTGAAAACCAGTATCTGGTGAAAATCCTGTATGATTTCGTTGAGGATGAATTGAATAAAATGATGGTGAACCACCATAAGATGCTGATAAGCTATTACCTATACGAAGTTGCTGTTGTTGATTTAATACTTCTGAAAATGAATTTGATGCTGGTCGAGTATAACCAGCAAATGGCCATGCTGTATTTGATGATACATCATTTGAAAGTGATGATGTTGATGAAGTTGTTGTTGTCGTGGTGGTCGGTGTTGTTGGTATATTTGTTGATGATGTTCTATTTTGATAATATGGAGGATGCGTATAAGGAGGTAATTTAAGACGATATGGATCAAATAGATGAGGATCTAAAGTAGGTGAAAGCAAAAAAAAGGAAATAAAAAAAAGAAAAAAGAAAGCAAATAACTATATTTACCTAATTTAGTTTGATGTTGTTGTGTTGCTCCTTCATTCATACTTGATGAACGAAAACGTTTCACATCTGATAAACCACTATTTATTTGTAATTCAAATGGATATGATGTACCGAGAATGGACGTATTTTGTTGTTCTTGAATATATGGTGGTGGATGTAAACTACTTTTTGAATTAATTGTTATTGGAGATTGAACAAATGATTGAAGTAATGTTGATGAACTATTTGAATCTTGGGATGATGGCGAAAATGGATGATGATGTTGATTAATACTTAATGTTGTAAATTTTGGACTTATACCCAATGCAGAATATGCTGATGTTGTTGAATTTGATTGTGAATTACTATTCACAGAATATGATCTATGTGGTGGTGATGTCATATCATAAATGTTCGTTGATTGACTATAGTCTGTTGTTGATGATGGGGATATTGGTGATACAGCTGATGCTGTAGTTACTGGAGCTGTTGATGGAGTTTCAAGTAAATCAGATATTGAATCAAGATCAAGTTCTAATGGTGCTCCAGAAGATAAAGTATCATCGAGTAAAATAACATCTTCATGTTCATGTTTCATTATTTCGTCAATAGCATCACAAAATTCTTTATTTGATGTTGGCTGTTCTAACCAACATGCCATTTGATTTTCTTTGATATCTAAAAATAGAATGATATATATTTATATTTATGATTATATTTATATTTATTTATATTTGTATGAAAATTTCAAAAGAAATTCTTACTACGAGTTAGTACTCCTGAAATATCATTTGTTTGACTAAATCCAATCATTATTAATCTGAAAAATGAAATTTATTTATATATATATATATACAAAAATATCCGTGTCAATGATGACGTTACAAAATCTTATGTTCTGACATATAATCTAAAATACTCTCTAAGTAATTCATTTGTCGTTTCCGTTTCTTTATAAATAAGTTAAGCATTACGTAAAACAGACAACATGATGAAAACTTTTGACTTTCTTTTCTATTTAATATAGTAAACTCATCAGATTAACAATTGAAAATTTAGAAAAAACATTGGAGTTTTTACTATTATACTTGAACATGAACTACTCATTTATATTTTGCTAGAAATATGTCTATTGATGATTATTGTAATATTATCGACACTAATTATATGCGAAGGAATCTGAAAGATATATAAATTAATATGTAGTCTGTTTTGTTTTGTTCGTACTTGTCAAGGTTTTTAATTTTATATCTTTAAGTGAAGAAAAAAAAGAGGTAAAGGGAGCCCAGAAAAAAAAATGTAATGTGTACTGATTTATATTTAGAAACAAAACTGTCTATGACACATACTCATTTCCTTATTTCTTTTTAGGCTTACTTAAGGTTAACTACAAATAATGAAAGTATGAAAAATAACTGACCAATCGAAAAGTAATTCATCAGTATTGTTTTTCTTCTTCCTTTTTTTTTTTTTCTGTAGTATGGGTATGTTCGACTCTTTGAATCGCGCGTAAACACGCGTGTAGTTGACGCCTAATGCATGTATATTTGTTCTGAGTTGAAGAGAGGATGCAAAAATGTTGTGTTTGTAAAGAAAGAAAAAAAAAAAGAAAAAAAAAAAAAAAAGGAGAATACTTGTTATTGTCTTTCTCACTGTGTACTCATTGCATCATACTCTTCAAAGCGTTCCCATATACCAGATTATTTGAAAAGGAATGAAGTAAAATAAGATTTATTTGATGCTTTATAATAATAACACGCCGGTAGCTTGTTAGCGGCAACTATTATTCATATACTTAGATAAGTCATTGACAAAGATCTCTTATTCGCATGAGTGATAGTTGTAGAATTCTCAAAACGTGCTCTTGTACTAAATCGAAAAATACCCGATGACAAATTGCCCAATAAAAGTTTGAATACGCAGCTGACGACACTGTAACACAATAGTGCATATTGGACTGATTCTTTTTTTTTTTTTCTTGTTAGTAATCATTTCTATCTCTCCTTTTTCTACGATTTCTGACGCGTATCAAATATATGAAAAGAACAACCCGTGCAAAAAAACAACAAAGAAAATCACTAGTAATAACCACGATATTTGAAGAATAAATACAAATAAGAAACTACTATATGCTTTACATACTGTCAATGTATGAGTCTAATAAATGCAGCAAAAAGAGAACACCTCTGTGAGGCAAACTATGATTACAAATGTTGCTATTTTCATCACAGTCATGAGTAAGAGACGATTTACTCTACGACAGAAAGAAAAAGATACGATTCTTCGAGGACAAAAAAAAAAACAAAAAACAGCGACATCATTGACCTTTTATTTTCATGTGCTGGTGCATATCTGTAATATCTATTTGTTGACAAGAAAAAAGGGTGTGCTAATGAATTCGTATTAATATAAAGAGTGGGATAGGAAGCGCCAATAGTTTGGCACAATTCCTACAAAAGACAGAACACAACAATATAGTAAGTTGAAAATGGAAAAAGAAAAAAAAATATTCAAGCCATATATAATCATATCTTATTTGTTGTTTGTTCGATCAATAGAAAAATAACGGAGGACAACTTTTATTTAATGACTAATGGTAACATATTCCTTTACTATTGGATGGTTGCTGATTGTCGTTACACACGATGTTAATGTTACAATATGCATAGCGCTTATTGGGAAGAATCATTTTAACCAATTCTCTAGAGTTTTTTCTCTTCTTCTTTTATGTCATGAACTTTTTAATAATTTTAGATTGTTATTCATTTGATTTTTTTTCTGTGATTGGCGAACCTTGAACAGAAATCGACTAATAAGAAGTTTGTGTTGTTTTTCAAAAAAAAAAAAACTTAATCTTATGAACCCGAGTCCTGGCAATTTGGTATAAGACTTACAAAGAAAATAACTTTTCTTATTCAAAATTATATTTTAGGGTTTGAATACCGTTGTTTCAACACTTGTTCAAAATTCTTCAACGTAAGTATTTCATATTATTTCGTACAAAAAAAAAGACAAATGAACATAAATATCATTTTTTTTTCTTTTTAAGACGACCACCATCAACAACTGCAACAATTGTTTCAAATACACGGAATACTTCATCACCTATAAATTTCTTTGCAAATTTATCTTGTGGTATATTACCATCAAATAATACAAACACATCAACATCCAGCCAAGGGCAATCAACATCATCAGTAAGTTAAATTTAATTATTATTTCGAAAATATTTATTTATTTATTTATTTATTAGCGCCTTAAGGTGGAGGATGCACTTAGTTACCTCGATAAGGTGAAGAACCAATTTGCGTTGCACCCGCAAGTATACAATCAATTTTTGGATATTATGAAAGAGTTTAAATCACAAAGGTATTTTTCTCAACAAAAAAATTGTTTTCTATGTATTATTTTTTGTGTAGTATTGATACTCAAGAAGTAATCAATCGTGTTTCAACACTCTTTCATGGTCATCCAGATTTGATTGTTGGTTTTAACACTTTCCTACCTCCAGGTTATAAAATTGAAGTTAGTCATGATCATCCGTGTTATATTCAAGTAACACATCCATCATCACGAACAGAATCTATTGCTATTGGTAATAATAATTCAACATATAATTTATCAATAACAACACCAACATCAACAACATATCATTCATCAACTATACGGCAAACATCAAATTTACTAAATCAAGATAATGAGGACGTACAAATTAAAAATGAAATTTCACAACAATCGATTAATCCAACATCACAAGCAGTTAATGCATTAATATCAGCAGCTAGTGCACCACAAATACCATATTTTGGTACAACAGGTGGATTTAATTTATCAACAAAAACAAATAAACAACAAATATTAAATAATAATAACAATAATAATACAATAAATTCTAATGGACAACCGGTTGAATTTAATCATGCAATTAATTATGTGAATAAAATTAAAAATCGTTTTCATCAGTAAGTTTCTTTTATTTATTAGTAAAACTTAACATATTTTTACTTGTTTTTTTTCTTAGAAATCCTAATGTATATAAAACATTTCTGGAAATCCTTCATACATATCAAAAACAACAAAAAGAGGCGAAAGAATTGCCAACAAGTAATGAATTACACATCCCACTAATGCTTGGAACATCATGTTAAAGATGTCCGTTTTCTATAATAGACAATGTAAGTCATTGTCGATTCTCTATATCAGCCTTACCCAGTTTTTCTTTACTCTATCCAAACATATGCATAGAACACAAGAGAATGGCTTTGGAATCGATCGAAATTCGTCTAAAATTTACAGCTTTAGAATAAATTTCAATCATGTGAGAGATTCATGTTTTGTATGTGATAAAACCTAACAAAAGTTTCTGGTAGAGAATTCAAAACTGGTAACAAGTATTCATTAATAATTGTCGAAAGTTTGATAGTTCTCAATATGGGAGGTATATTAATAGTGGTATTAATGTTTTATCTAGATTTTCTCTTCCGAAGAGGAGATTTAAAATTCTGGCAGGATCAACTCGACCTTCGAACACGTGCCGACCCCTTGGGACTCTAGAGGTTGGTACATTTGTACTAAAATTAATATAATTCCAACATTGAGAACTATGAAACTTCTAATAATTTTTCATGAGTAATTATCATCAGTTTTGAAAGCTTAATCGAAACCCATTTTAGGTTTGAAATTTTGGACTCAACAAACTTAAGAAGTAACTGAAATCGACTTTAAAAATGTCAATTTTCATCAATTCTGAAACCTTGATTTTCTACTCCATGCATTCTGATAATAATTCTGGATAGCGTGTGAAAAGTTGACGAGGGAACGTTTCTAAGTGTGAAATCTTGTTTGAGTTATGTCGATGTGCATCATATAAGTTCTAATGAACTATAAATACTCTAAGAAGAGTTCAAACTAATTGCTTATTGCTGTTGAGATATTATATTTTAAACATGTTTTTAGCAGAATGTCGGCTTGAAACTTTCCATAAAGACAGTTCTCAATAAGAATAGAATATTGTAAAATTGTCAGACTTTTTGATTGGTTCTGTTCAAAGATATGCCTTTGATAAAAGTATATTTTTCATGCCGCTGATATATAACGGCAAATCTCAATGTTTTTATTTCAGAACAGCTGCAATAAAAAATCTTGATACTTTCACAATAAGTTGTTCTCGTTAAAACCTTTCTCTGTGCAAGGTTTCAAATCGAAATTCAAAACTCAGTTTTTTTCTGTTGTTCATGAAGCGAATCATGGCATACTAGTAAAAAATACTGTTAAAATACAGTACCTCGACAGCAATAAGCTATTAATCAGAACTCTTTTCAGCATACTCATAGCTCATTAGAACTCCCATAGTGTGCATAATCCTGACACACAAGCGATTTGACATTCAGAAATGTTTCCTCTGAGCAATGCTGTTTTAGAGAATCGACAGACATTTGCGTTGTCTTTAGAGAAAAAGATCATCTTTGACACGATGTTCTAAGAATTGGTAGCATGTCTGATTTTCATATTAAATAAAATTTGATTTGTCTTTTAATTAAATTCAATAGCTTTATCAACAATGACGAATAATGCAGGAAATAATCAAACAACATTCCTTTCTGAAACAGAAGTTTATGCTAAAGTAGCACAACTATTTACTAATCATGAAGATCTTCTTTCAGAATTTAGTCAATTTTTACCTGATGCTACTCAACAACCAACAGTAAGTCAAAATAAAATAAAATAAATTTTTATTGTCTATTTTTTTTTTTTATTATTTGTCATAAAGGAACGTATGAATTCTATTTCGGATATTTTATCATCATCAGATA